TCAGATAACATGTACAGATACAGCATACCATACTTAGATTCACATGGGCACACAGACGCATCACATAAGAGTAGAAACAGCAGGACACAAACCCACACCATGAAACTATCCACCCATTCAGTCATTCCTGTTATCAGGAGGTGCCTACTATAGAAGATCCTCTATAGAAGTCTTTTCACTACAGGAAGACTTTAAGATTAAACCTTTATACAAATGTAATGAATGTAAAGCCTGATTGGTTAAAAATGAGTTTATGAAAATGCATATAGTGCATGTTTACTTCTTAGTACTTTGACCCAATGCATGGCATTGACTGAGATATAAGATATGTGTGGTCATATCTTATCACACATTAATATCAGTTTTAATGCTCGAAGACTTTTAGCCACGCCACTTTGAAAAGGGCGCCACAAGTATGCGGTGTAATCTAGTAATTCATAGATAGTCGAAACAAAGCTCAATATTTTTCTGATTTTAAATATTTATGTGTTTCACCCAAACTCTGGGGATACGTATCCGGAGTTTTTGGAAAAAAATTGAGCTCCTTTTTTTCTCAGGGATCACTTGGCTGTGGTGTCCACGTTTCTTAATGAGGTGGCTGCCTAGTCCTAAGCCTTCATATTAATCTATAAGGAATTTATTTTCCTTGTATGATAAGATGAGAGCGAAATAATAAGAGCATGTCCTTTGAAAAGATATAAGAACAGCATCTGCCTGTGAAAAGACTACCAGCTTTGTTACTGTACTGTGTTGTGATATTGTATATGCCTGTAGTACACCAGCAAGTGAGCTTAACCTTGTTTCAGTTAAGGCTTTATTCGGGAATGTTTGCACAGTGGTTACTGATATTCTTCAAAAAAACAAAAAAAATGTATTCGTTTGTTGGATGTTAAGTATTTTGATGAAGTAATACAGGTTCTTATTTGCCCTTAGTGAAAGTGCAATATAATATTTAAGCTACAGTGTTCATAAGCAAGATATAATTTAAGAACCGCCAGAAATGCTCCTTTAACATTTAAAGGTATTTGCTATGTGAACTTTCAGACTGTGTGCTTGCTCATAAATTTCTCCCAAGAATTCATTTGTTTTTATATTTCTTATTTTTTTATTATTTGTTCTGGGATCCTCCCACCCTGTAAAATGCATATGTGGAAATCCTAAGGTGGGAAGAACGCCAGTAAAATCGAGAGCAGACATCATTGATAACAAACATGACATTGATTAAGTCATAATGGAATGAAATGGAGAAGCTGGTGTGGAGGTGGGTTGCAAATCGGCTTGCAGTGGCAGCAGTAACTGTGTGCAGACTGAAGCAGTTTAAATAAATTTGGTCCCTATTCTCCCAACAAGAGCTCAAACTGTCCCACTGACATTCTGAAATGTATGAAAGCGGTCATGATACAACTCTTGGCTCAAACCATGAAATTGTCCCTGCTGCTGCCTTCTTAAGAAAAACGTCATCGCTCGATGATACGGGGACGTGCCCATCAGTCTAGAACAGGGTAAATCTGGGCTCATCAGACCACATTACCTTCTTCTATTGGTCCAGAGTCAAGTGTTTATGCTTCCTAGCAAAACCCAAACCTTTCCAGTAGCTTAAATGGTTGGTAAACTTTTAATTTATTTTATTTGTATATTTGATTTATTTATCCACATACCAAAACTGCTGAAACTAAAGTTTTTCTTTGCTCAGAAGTATCAGTAACCTCTGATCAAATATTCTCGGCGTGTACCTCTGTCAGCTAAAGCTAGGAGCTCCTCAGCTCAGGAAAAGCAAACGCTGAGTATTTTGTTGACGTTACAGCTTTATTTATTTTTTTTAATGCTAAGCTAAGATCTCCAGCTGCTGGTGGATTATGCATGTTGTGTATTTCTCTGTCAGTGTTTGTGTCTTGTCCCCCACTCCCATCCCTCCCCCATGGCTCAGGGTCCCATCACACTCGGGTCTAATCTTGCAGGGTAACTTGTCATTTTCTCAGCAGCCACAGACTTGACGGTGGGCAAAATCTACGCTGCCATGATGATCATGGAGTACTACCGGCAGAGCAAGATGAAAAAGCTGCAGGCCCTGCGAGAGGAACAGGTAGACTCCAAGCCAGAGAAATATTCCAAATACCGAAAGACTTTTTTCTTTTTATGTTCCTCCTCCTGGTCGTCTCTTGTTTGCCGTTCTTCTGCCAGATATGGATTTAAAAGAATAAGAAACACGTCTTATACATTTAAATCCTGTGCTGACTCCCAGCTACACTTCTGAGCACAGCTTACCTCCCTCTTGCCCTGTACCGTCTCTTTAGCATGCTTCTAAAAATCTGCATACTTTTTCTAGTACCTTCTTGCTTTCTTGGCTAACCAAGAGACCAAGAAGCCTATTATTTTACAAAGCTTGCTAAAAGAGTTATTTTATATAATTTCTTCCAGACAGTGAACAACCCTCCCCCACACTTTCACTTGTTTTGTTTGTTTTTTATCATGGATAATTTGAGCATGGTAAGGATGATAAAGCATAACCAAAGGTTAAACTAAGGATTTTGTTGCTTGTAATCTTCTGAACAGTGATGATGATGATGATGATGATGATACCACATGGCCTTACCTTTGTTCCTTGTCAGTGCTCGTCCCCTTGTGTCAATGAATGCCTTTAAGATGCACTCGCTTGTGTAGAAACATCTCTCCACTTGTGCAATCGCTCCTAGATTTGCCCATGTAATGGCGTCAGGCTCATTCTTACTGACTCAGATGCATGTCTTGTCTCCAGATTTCCATTTTGTCGAATGAAGGAGTGCATTGGTGAATGGAGAGTATGTTGTTCCTTTCTCTTACCAACACTACATCATGTCAAAAACAGCGTGTGTCCTGAATGCAGCTATCCCATCGGACTGAACGGACAGTTCGACACCAGCTCTCTCAACATCAGCAGTGCACGATGACTTTAACCATCTCATCATCTCTACTTTATCTCGCGACTGCTTTCCTCTTTTCTGCTGCAGTCTTTGTTTTCATATTACCGTGCTGCTTTGAAGGAAGAATCCACCCAAAATCTTCACGTGTATATTTAGAGAAGTCTTTTTTTTCCGTAGCATCAGGTTTGGATACCCAGTAGGGTTGGGCATTTGGTTTCACTTTTCAGTCATCCTATCATCCCCCTGCGGCATTACCCATAGCATTGCCACTGGGATCCTGCCGTTAAAGTAACACTATCCACCCTCTGTAATGTGCAATGTGTGGCCAATGCACACACAACAAAGGCACACAAGTGAAAAAGCAACACACGCGCCAGAAGTTATTTTTTCACATCCAGCATGACGGAACATTTTCACATTTACATAGAACGCTGATTTCTTCAGCAAACAGTAATTAGTGAACAGAACTGCCTGGATGTGGCTTTTCAGATTTAAGTGCTCCCTAGTGAAAGCTGCTTTCCTTAGTTTCTGAGCCAACAAGCCCACTTTTGGTTAACCCTCTAAGGCAGAGGTATAGAGCTCCAGGCCTCTAGATCCGGTGTCCTGCAGGTTTTAGATGTGTCCTTGATCCAACACAGCTGATTTAAATGGCTAAATTATCTCCTCAACATGTCTTGAAGTTCTCCAGAGGCCTGGTTATGAACTAATCATTTGATTCGGGTGTTTTGACCCTGACTGAGATGTAAAACCTGCAGGACACCCGCTCTCGAGGCCCGGAGTTCCCTACCTCTGCTCTAAGGTCTAGCAACACTGTACAATGAAAATGTGTGATCTTTGGGCTTTCGCAAAATGTTCTCCAAAGTCTTGAGGGGGTTTTTTCTTCAAAACATATGGTTAATGATTAAGGTTACTTAACGTCAGTGATAACTTTGACCTCACCTAGATGCTGTACCTGTCGATCTATGTTCCCACCCTCACTTATGGCCACAGGCTGTGGTTAGTGACCCTAAAGAATGAGGTTGCACACACAGGCAGAGTACAGGTGCTGCTCCTCCACATTGAAAGGAGGCAGTTGAGCCAGAATGCTTCCTGATGGGTCCTCGGTGAGGCGTTCGGGTCGTGACGGCTTCCTGTTGCTGCTCAGACCCCAAATCAGAAAGAGAAAATAAGTAAAATTGACAAATATTTATTTTAGACCTAAAATGACTAATAAAAGAAGCTAAGGGTGGCTCCTTTCTTTAACAACTCATCTGTTTACCTCTTTGCCTCCATTCCTTCCTGCTGTGCACATGTCAAGTGTGAAATGTCTTAGTCATTGTTTGTTATCGTTGTCTGTCAGTATTTTGTTGTTTCGTCTTTGTTGGCTACTTTGTTTCCTTACCATGGATGTTGTCCGATGTCCCTTGTGCCCATCCTCCATGCCATCTGTGTCCTTCTGTCTTCTATTTATCCTTCCAGGAAGCTAGAGACTTTGACCTGTCAAGCTCTCCCTATTTGGTCAATCCAGGTTGATTGCCACCACGTTTCTCTAACCGAGACCCATTCTCTTCAGCCTGTGTTTCTTTGAATCTGCCTGCTCCCTTCTCTGTCTGCGGGGACGTTGAGGGAAGATTCCTGAGACCAGTGTCTCCCTGTGTAATCATTCTATCATGGGAGCATTCATTCATACACACACAACTGCAGAAACATGCTCAGTTGGAGCCAGAGGTGTTCAGTGTTTCAGTGTTAGATCCTATCCATCTAAACATCTCTACCATGAGTTTTGTCAGGATCCATCAGTGGCTCTGGTGCTAGAACAAAACTGTTCAGAGACAAACTTAAACTGTTTTTCTCCTTGACACTGGAAAAGACAGTTGGACAGGATCGAAAGACTTATGGCTTTTTTTTAAGTGATATCTTTGTGACTTCATAAGCTCGTGTCTTGTGGCGAGGTTAGATAATGTCAGCATTTTTAAGCAGCTAACCAAAGCTGGCCATTATTAATGGTGCACATTGTAGCCAGACTTCCTGTCCAACAGATCAGCCCGATGTGTCTGAAGAGGTTTGAATTTGTTTCGGAGCAGCTCTTCAGTCATTTATCCTCCGGCCTTTAGCTTCCAGACCATGGAGGGACATGACATGGGCTCTCACAGTCATGAACCATCAACGCTAAGCCACTCCAGAGAGGACTCTGTTGAAACAGGATCTCCTGAGAGTAAAACGGCTTGACCTTTGACCTGTCTGATGGAAGCAGAAGTTGCTTTTTAATACTGCTGGTTTAGGATCAGATTACTACTTCTCTTGAAATGGCATGTTACTCAAAACAGCTTGGCAGATCAGTATATGATTTTTGAGTAAAATGTCTCTATATAGATATATTTTGTGAGTATGAGAACCTGGTCCAAGACCTGAGATTTAAGAGCAATCTTACCTCAAGGTAAAAGCTCCCCTCTGACACGGATCTGAGATCAGTTTTGCTACCCTGAATCTCTACCCAACATGTCAGAGTTAACAGTGTCCCTTTAACACTTTCTGGGTAGCAAGCAGACTCCAGATCAAGTAGTCTTTGGGGAAACTTTACCTTGGATACCCACAGCCATGTGCTTGCTGATGGCGCCCCCGTGTGGGTGCATGCTGCGAGTGCATCCTGTGTTTGTGTCCTGTGTCTGCCCCCCTGAGTGTGCCTGATGCAAGCCTGCAGGCCATGTCGTGTATCTCACACAGAACCGAACGCCATTAATGTTTCAGCGCATGGAGCCGCCCTCTGAGGGAGGCGGCACGGACGGCCAGGGAGGCCAGGGCCAGAACGGCCTGTCCAGCACGCAGCTAGACAACATCAACAGCATGTGAGTAGAAAACAGGGAAGCCCATACACACTGCAATGAGGCGCTTCAGACAGAAACGTCCAGTACAAATACATTACGCATACTGTCGCATGCACACTGTACATCAATTAAAAAAATCTGTTTGTTTGTTTTTTATTTTCCCCCCTTTTGTGCCAGTTCCATTCCAGCTAATGCCTTTAACACTGATTGTGAGCTGAAAGGAAAGGTTTGAAAGTAAAAACAAGCAAAATGTGCTCTTTTTTTTTTGACCTGACCTTTTACAGCTGTTTATGCCTTATTACAGTGAAAGTCACACTGGAAAAAGTTTTTTTTGTACATTTTTCACTATAATATTTTAGGAGCCAAAATTTAGAATATAAGGCATCATGTGACTTCTTGAAGGTTATCAAAACTCTTATTTAGTTTGGTCTCCTTATTTAAACTTTGAAAGATATTGATTATAAAACATGCCACAGTTAGGATGCTCCAAAGTTTGCTGGAATTTTGATAACTTTATTATTATTTTCTTATTAAAGACTTATTAAAGTCTTTGCAGAGAAAGATGGTGCCACTAGCTCGCACCAGCTCATCCACAGCACCTCAGCTGAATCTCATGCTTCTCTTTTTTTAATCATATCATCACATCAAACCAAATAATATACTGATGTTTTACTGTGAATGAGAAGTTTGAGGTAAAGAAACCCTAATCCTTAAAATAAACCTCTGACAAATATACGCTGTGATCTCTGTAACATAGTTATTTTTCAGTTAGTTATGATATTAGTTTTTCCTCAAGTGTAGATAAAAATGTAATTTTCTTTTCATTTTCATTTCCAAACCCTGGATTTTAAATTTAGTGTAAACATAAATCAGATCAGATACAGAAAAAGTACAAGCGCTGTTTATCAAGACATGAGTATAAGCAACAATATGATCATTATAGTATCTGTAATCGTGTTACCACGCTAAGATTAAAATTAAGCTTGAAGTACAGCTCCTGTTTAGACGGACTCTATAAATCAGTAAACAGGTCAATAGTAGCCGACATATTGATCCCACTCTAAATTAATTCCTTGGTCTTCTGGAAATTCGGTGTTGTTGCATTAAGGATTACTGAAAAATTACAGTATCCCTAGCATTCCAATAATATTCATATTTATGTGTGTGTGCGTGTGTGTGTGTGTGTGCCAGACCTCCTGAGGGTGGCATGACTGAGAGCCAGTCATGGGTGACGGCCAAAGCCCAGGAAATGTTCCAAAAGACGGGTAACTGGAGCCCGGACAGACCCTACCCCGACGACCTCCACGACAACCGTCACAACCCCCAGGTATAATGACACCGAACATGCATGTTGTCACCGTGGTAACATCAGTCTAAACCCAACCAGTCCCTGCTTCCACACTGGTCTAGTAACATCTGTGGACATAATAGAGAAGGATGTAACTATAAGACTGCATCTAATTATTTGGAGGGCAGAAACTGCAATCCCAACTCAACAATCTGCTTCTGCAGGGTTTTTCAGCTCGTGTAGCTACTCAGTGACCCTACTTGCTATTACGTTTTTCTAAAGCATCTAACATGTGAAACTTCCTGCTAAATAAATACAGTTCAAAACATTTTAGAGGGTTTTCTCTGCTAATTCAAAGCTGAAACGATCTTATATTAACCTGTAAAAATGTTCAGAGCTCTACATTGTAAAGTGAAAAGCGCAGCTTTCTAAAGAGAGCAGTTAAAGGCAGGTAAGGTGTGTCACTGTGCTCCTGGTTTCCTTTGCTCCTTGAGCATTTTATTTAGAAATGTCTTTATGTAATTATATCTAAGCACACAAGTGGATGGATAGGCATCTAAGCCATGGAAGACACCTTTACAGAACTGGACTTTAGCACTTAATCAGCTCCTTCATTCCTGCCGTTTCAATGTTGCTGCTGTTACTCCGCAGGCACAACAGCAGTCTTTTTCTTTTTCCAGACGTGCCCACTTTTCTCCTTTCGTTCTCTTTCTCCATCTTCCTCCTCCTAGTCCATGTTCCCCCCGCCTTATTCTCTCAGTCTGACCATCTTCCTCTCCCTTGAGTTTTCCTGTTTCCTCTCCAACCTCCTCTCGAGTCAGTGGCTTAAAGTTTACAGATGTGTTTTGTGACCTACACCTTTTCCTCCCCACTATTCCTTTACTTCCGCTTGTCTGTTGGGGTGCTCCTACTCCCCAGTGCCTCGTCTCCCTTCTGAATCCCATGACGGCTGCACAGAGACGAAATGTGAATTACAAGTTGTGTAAGTTGGCTGTTGAGCTCTTGAGAGGCTCCAGTTTTCAGAGGGTTGGCAGCTTGATACTAAAATAGTTTTCCAGTGGTTCCAAAGAAGTATTTCCTTGTTGGATTTTGGATTTAAATATATTATGGTTATGTGGTTTTATAGTTTATAAGCTGACCTAATCCATCCCCACACTAAATTTATGCAGCTTGTTGCATAAATTGTCCTATTATCGTCCTGCAATTGAAAAAAAGAAAACTAATATCATATGAATAATCCTATCCTTGTAACTCATTAACATCATGTCATGCCCCTCGCTCGATTGGTCAGTGAGTCTCCCCCTCAGCAGACAGTGGTCACGCCCCCTCTCATTGTGTTTTACAGACGGTAGAGATGAGGGAGATGGGGCGGGACGGGTACTCCGACACTGAGCCCTATCACCCAATGGATGGGCATGGGCGGACCCTCTCCATGCCCCGCCTCTCGGCAGACAACCAAGTGAGCACCTTCATCTCACCATCACTCACTGTCATCCTCACTCTCTCACATTATGCCTGACAGCTGAAGTGAATTGGAAAAGCTTCTCTCTGCATCCTAAAACAAATAAAAAGGAACGAGTCTGAAATCATCTAAAACCTTCTCGTTCGAATAATAATTTTTCATATTTCTTAAAGCATTTCGGGTAACTCTGGGTCTCTGAATGAGACGTCCCACTTAGGATGCAATGTCAGGGCAGGAGACTGCTGTAAATTCACTTCCCTCTGTCTCGTTTCCCTTCCCTCCTCTTTTTCCACCCATCCTCTAACCAGCACTGCCTCCCTTTCACCCTTCACTCCTCCAGCATCTGACCCATCACTGCTCATCTCCAAGCTCCATCTCTGAGCAGCACTGCAGAATGTAAAACTGGGTCTGAAGGCTGGATCAGTGTCCTAGATATGTATATTAATATACATCTAGAAGACCTGTGTGTAGAGAATATTTAACCCCTCCCCTGTCACTGCTCCCCGCTCCATTTCCATTGAATCCTTGGTGTGTCTGTCCCGTGTGAACTGTGGCCAGAGTCACTCTTCAGCTGCGAAGTAAATAAAACTCAGTGTCTGCAACACTTAAAGGGAAACAAAGCACACGGTTGTTGACGTGAAAGTTACACATAAAGTGGGTCATCCGTTCATTATATTGGGGCATGACTGACAGGATGAAGAGCGTGATCTCAGCTACCCACGCTGTCACTGAAGTGAAGCTGTGGCGTGTATGATGATGGGTGCACGCATGTAAGGCATGCCTTTTTTTTAACTGACAAAACTTTGGCAAAAAAAAAGATTCAATACATCAGATCAGGTTTGTGTATCCTCAACTGTGGCACACAAATCCTTTCAAACAGAGAGCTTTTCCAGCACTCCACAGTCGGAGGTGTGTTAGCTAAACCTGTCACGCCAAGGCAGGTGTTGAATTAGTTCAGTAAGGATCTAATTAAATAACACAATAAATCTTTACTTTAAAGAAGGATTATTGAAACTCAGTTAATCAAACATTTGTCACATACAGCGCTTGTGGACCTACGTACTTACTTTGAAGCCTCTGGCTGCAGTTACACACACACCAACACATTCATGTCCACAGCATTTCACTGCATCACGTCATGTTGCTCTCACTTTGGTATGTTGGTTCCTTCATAAGGCTTTTCTGTCCGAGCAGTTGGAGTAAACAGCAGGATTGTGTATATAATAAAAAATCAGCTTATACCTTTTTACTTATGTTTTTGTGGAAGCACTTATTAAACGTAACGTTACAATAAAGCTAACGGTTATCACCTTACCCTCACATTGTTGTACAGTTATCCAATGGCTGTGACTTATTGTACTGTATTGTCTTAGATCCTTTTCATAGTTAGTATCTGCGCACTAGTATGCACTCATTAAAGCAAACACTGCCTGACCCAGGTCTGTCACCTATACATTTGAACATTGCTAAGTCGTCAACTCTGAAAAATAGAGTTGAGGTTTAGTGTAGTTTAATATGACGCTGCTTTGAAATGAAAAATGTCTCTATAATCGTAAAGTATCCAGAAACTACGGAAAGTTGTGTAGAAAATATCCTGTGCGTGTATCTGTGAGTGTGTATCTGTGTTTAAGCGTGCGTGTTGTGTAAACAGTATACATGTGCGTCTGTACACTGTTACTTACTGTATTCTAACACTGCTCTGCCTTCCAGAGTGCTCGTGCTATTTCGGTAAGTGTGTGTGTGTAAGAGTGTGTGTGTGTTTGTGTGTGTGTGTGTGTGTGTTTGTGTGTGTGTGGGGGGGGTGTCCTCTGTCTCCTCTTGCTCGCCCGCAGATCTCTTGGCTCTGATGCGTGCTGCGCGCTGGACATCCTGAAATTAACTGAACTCTCTCTTTCTCTTTCTCCTGTCTCTGCACCCCAACTCCTCCTTCATTTCTTCCTTTATATCATTTTATTGTATTTCATTTTCTCATCCTCCTGTGTTTTTGTCCGACATCCTCATCTGTCCTCTTCAAAAAACAAATCCTCTCTTTCTCTCCTCCACAAATCACTGTCTTACCCTGTTATCGATTTCTCTCTCTCCATCCTTTTTTCTCCTCGGGTCCTGGTGGCTATGCTACGTCGGGCCTGTGCTCTGTGTGCGTGTGTGCGTGTACGTGCGTGTGCGTGCTACACTGCTCTGCTATACGTTATCATCTCTGTGTTCGCCTGCTCTGCAGCGGAGGAGACACAGGCCTCGCGGAAATAACCTCAGTGTATGTACCTCTTGCTCTATCTCCATCTGCCCTCTCCCCCGCTCGTTTCCTCTGTCTCTCTCTGCCGGTCTGTCTTTCCAAACTGGATCTGCAGCAGATTGTAGTTTTGCTGGTCATTTCGCCCCACATCAGGTGCCATATGGGTGGAGCTGAACAGCAGTGAAACAGTTCGACTCGCCATTCGGTGTCAAAGAAACTGCCCCTGCCCTGGTATTCAGGGCAGTTTGCATTTCCAAATCCTTTACATTTCAGCAAAACTTTCAGCACTCTGTGTGGCCGACATTTGTTCTTCGACAGCCATTCAGAGTGTTCACGGGCCATGATTGAGTTTTCAATCAAACACTGAGATGGAACCAAGTGGGTCAGTCGGCTGAATGGAAATTCAAAACCTCTTTGCTTCTGCTCATTCACCAAATATTCCAGTGTTTCCAGAGTGGCCAATTGCACACTCAAGTGTTCTGAGCAAAGGGTATTCATCTCTTGGACAGAAACTCAGCGATTTTCCCAATTTTCGGATAAATCAAACGTCTATCTAGTTTTCAAAAGCCACCATTTTCAGTGCTGTGCAACACTTTTGTGTTCATGTCTGTGGACACAATATGAAAGTCAGCATCAAGCAGGAATTTTATGCCTTTTTAAAAGAAATCTCTGTGTTGTCTGCATATAGTCTTTTGTGGTAATGGGTTGTGTTCTCCTTCATTGATGCACCTTTAGAAAAAGTCAACCTCTGTATTACATTAATGCAGTGAACCCCACCCATCTGGCACTCGAGCCTCTTTGATTCAGCTTTGACCTAATTGTCACTGTTCAGATCTACTTTGATCAGGCCTTCTCCTCTGTCTTCCTCTTCTGTCGGCTTTTCTTTGAGCTATCTGAGTCTCTCTTTCTTCTTCCTTTTTCTCTCTCGAGTTTGCTCATGTTGAGCTCGCTCTACGCTCCATTGTTTTCACTCCCTGTGAGAGTTTCACAGGGGTTCAGCTCGTACGCAGCGTCTGTGTGTGCTTGTCTGTGTGTGTCTATTACCTGTGCATTTGAATCCTTTGCATCACTGCAGACCAGGTCAACAGTGTATGATGAAAAGCATGGACTGCCCTGATATGTGACTGTTGGCCAGTAGCGGGGATAGGCAGGGTGCCGGCATGTCATTACTCATGCATGACGTGGCAAAGTCTCACTGTGGATGCGAGAGAAAGTGGTGTGCCAATGAGGCAAGGCGTTGCTTTAGTCAAAGCCTGATGTTCAGTAGCATAAAAGGTGGCATGAAAGGCAGAGTGTGATGCTCATGATGTAGCTGCGTTGTGTTCAGCACCTTACATTAAGTTGCTTTCAATTCAAAATTAGCAGTATAACTAGGGATGAAACAAAAATGAAAAACTGAAAAAAACCTGCCTGATGAGGCGTTAATGGACTAGTTTACTGAGAGCTTGGATGCCTACAAGAATGTGAGTCAACTGCTCTCAAAAGGTATACAATAAGACCACAAAAGAGACTGATTAACTAGCTAAAAACCAGGGAAGACTAGTCAAATCTGGCAAGTCGGGTTGGTAGTGACTAAATATTGTTATTCTAGCCAAAAAAGTACCATCTCACAAAGACACACTCCAGTGCTGATTGTTCTCAGTCAGAACATTCCCTAAAACATTCCCTAAAACTCTGTTTTGACAGTCTGACTCTTGGGACATATTCTTGGGGAACAACCTTTTAAATTAAAAAAAAGACAGATATACTCCTGATCATGCTCCTCGCCTAATGTGCCGTCTTCAGATTTGGACACAGCTGGACTCTTCCACTCAAAAGTTCTGTTCGGTCTCTGGATTATAGCCAGAAATCTTGCTCTCACGAAGGGTGGAGCTCCTCTACACAGAGTTTGATCCCCTCTGTGAAACTTGAAGATCCATGTTGAAAACACTGAAAGTGGCAGCAGGTAAAGTTTCTTTATGGGTGTAGCAATGCAACTTTTTGATATTAGCTTTGGCCTTTGTAGTGTCCAAATAATGGGGGGAAAAGAATATAACTTTGTAAATATCTAATGGTTTTTAATGATATTTATTTATTCTTTAATAAACCATTACTTTACAAAATGCTGTTTTGTCAAACTCATCAACTTAAAATGGAGAAATGAGGCTTTTTGTCGAAATAAACAATTCGAAGTCCGACACAAGTTTTTCTGTGCGCCTGTGTGTGTGTGTGCGTGTGTGTGCGTGTGTGTGTGTGTAGGTGGATTAAGGGTGTACGCATTTCTGTACTGCCAGCTACTCAGAGAACATGCATGGCTTGTGTACAGACTGCTGTCTGTAAGTCGTGACATTCGTCTCAGGGCGGAGAATCCTCCTGTGTTTGTCTTTGTCTGGCCTGCTGCTTGCAGACTGACCTGCTTTATCATCGAGTTAATGTGAGGCTTTGTGGGGGTTCACAGTGTGGGCAGGGTCTTTTTCCTGATCAGAGAAGCCTGACAATGAACCCAGCAGGAAAATCATGTAGAACTGGTCCCAGTATTTATGTTGTAGGTCACATTTCAGCTGTGAGTAGATGAGCGTTCATAGTGAGCAGGAAGTAAATCACATCACCAGCTCACTTTTGATATTTTTTTTATTATTTTGTTTATTCAAACAGTGGACAGTGAAACATTTTGTCTCATAGTTTTTTAGTGTAGGATTTTCCTGTTGAGTTCTTGAAGAGCTTTTGCTCTGGCTCAGAGCGCCTAGGATGATGGATTGTCTTATCCGCATAGTGTCCATATTTGATTTATATTCGATCATACTTAGAAAGTATGCATGTAGTGAGAAACAAGATCAGTCTTTGAATAAGATGTAACCCTCGGTGCTCTGTTGTCAGATTGGCGTAATGTTTTCCTCCCACACCATCTTTGCATCATTCTCATTAATGATGAGGACTAAGACTCTCCTCACCATATGTTTCATACCTCTGGCATGACATTTATGTCATCCAGCTAATTAAAATATGCCAGTTTGAAAAGAAAAAGTTACATAAAATCTGTTCTTTTTCATAGCTATAAATATATACACATTTTTAAAGAAATGCCAAGTAATGTGGAATTTTCAGCTTTGCATTTTGTGTTTTTAATTATAAATCAAACCATAAAAAGACTGTCTGGCATCTCAACCCGAGTTTCATGTAAATGAAATATGGCTGCTGTGGGGAAAAGCGCAATATAACTCCTCTGTGCATGTGAGGCATGGTTTCTAAAGCTCAACCTCATGCTTGTTCTCTGTCGCGCTACCCTTTTCTCCTCTCCCTGTGAGTTCCCTGTTTATATCTGTGCGTTTCATATCACCATGGTGAAGAGGCATGGTGTCACATGTTGTTTCATACTTAGACTTAATACTAAGGGATTTCAGGTCCTTTCCTTCAAGTTACATGAATGCTAATGCCGTTCGCTGGGGTCAGATTAGGCTATTCAGAAATCATATTTAGATCTGTATAGGTCACCACACACTACAGCACACAAGCCAAATATTCATATTATCAAATCAAACTGCACCTTCTGAAATCCTGAATTGCTGTCTTGTTCTGAACCACCACGCATCTAAATCAACAGTTGGCATTGGATCACAAAGCACTTATACGCCCAATACTGTAATGTTATATACTCAGCAAAAGTCACTGAAGTGACTGGTGTCCTTCTCAGACATGAGGACGGACTCCACTCCAGCAGTCCAAGGCCTTAAATCTCACTTCTTTTTATCTTTCTCTCCCCTACCTTATGATTTCTCTATCTGCCTCTATCTCCCTCTTCTGTATTTTCTTCTACTCTGCCTCCTTTGTCCTCGCAGACCATTACTGACACAAGTCCGATGCGTCGCTCCACGTCCAGCCTAGTTCACGGGCGTACAGGCAGGGGCGTGAGGCTGGACGACTACTCGCTGGAGAGGGTGGTGTCTGAGGAGGGGAGACATGGAGGACGTAGGCACAGGGACAGAAGCCACCGCACCTCGCAGCGCTCCCTGACCAGATACACCGACGCGGACACGGGTGAGTAACTCAGAATGGTTATTTCCTTTGAAATCAGACCAACATCTGCATCAGTGTTCAGTTCACCAAAGAAAGATGAGCCATAAATCTCAGTGTGAGAGCAGTGCGTCGTCTGCGTACAGATGGTGTGGCTAAGCTGACTGGTGTTTTGATTGCTGTGGTCAGACTGTCATGTTTAACACCATGAGAAGATCCCTAAAACTGTAACTTTCCATATTTGAGGGCTAGTGTTAAAATTAAATAATGTAGATTGGTTGTACAATTGGCATCACGGACAATCACAAATATAGGGCAAGTTTGTTGTGGCTGTTCATGAGCATTTAACTTATTTGTTGATTTAACTTTGCTTTTATATGAAAAAAAAACTGTGGCTTGGAAATAAGTAGACAAAATCATAAGACTTCACGGTTAATTTGGAAAATACGTCATTTCATTCAAGCACAGGTTGTGCTTTGGAAGAAAGGAGTTTTCTCATGTCACAAAGTTTCTTTACACGAATGACACAAGGAGAAACTTAAGTCTTGCTAACAGGCTACCATTTGTATTAGTATGTGGCATTTTATGCTAAACTATACTACATCATAGATGGTTTAGCTGAAAAATAGAAAATTCAACCTCGCATGCTAAACTTTAGCATGTTAGCCATGTTAGCATAAGAAACGTTTGTTTGACCCATTGGTTTGTGATTTGTGACACTATGAGAAATCAATTATTATTTAAGGCTGTCACTGATGTAACAATATTTGTTAGTAACATTAGCTTGGTTAGCAAAATGTATTCAGAGACTAGGTGCTTATTAATGTGGAAATACAAATAATGTATTAGAATATCTACTCAAAAAAATTATAACACAGACTTCTTGTAATATATATGCTAGTACACGTAACCACAATTGCAAAATAGGTGAGTTAAAAATGCTACAAAAGACACATGAGCAGTCAAAGCTCAGTTTAGCTAAGCTAGCTGCCTATCACTTAGAATAATACTTTAAGACTCACGGCAACCTTAGCATAGTTGTGGTAGAGGGGAAGTAGCTATAGAAATAAACATTAGCCTCAAGTTTGATGTTGTTTTCATCTAACTTATTACGTTTAAGGACCAAAACATGTCCAAAGATTTATTGCAACTGCGTGCAATGGATTTGTAATCTTGCTGCCTTTGACTTCAACAAGGGTGACCATGTCTGCAACTACCTGCCATCTTCAAATTAACATTTTTTCATCAGAAAGCTGTTGCCTTCTGCATACACAGAAATTCACATTAACTGCTTACATTCAGAGCCAAACCTCATAGATTTGAAACAGAAAATGAGAAATTCTTCCACAAATAGTGACCTAGTTGCTAGGTACATTATTGGGCAATGGTTTAATTGCAAATTGACTCAGCAACCTTGCTTTTATAAAGGAATAGAACCGAAATACAACCAGCTGAGTCTCCTATTGCAAAGATCATGTGACAGATGTGTTTTGCTCATAACTGCGATACGTTGACACTGCATTTATGCATTAGATGGTAATGGTTTACAAACCTTCACCAATCAGTGGTTCTAGTTAGTCCTAGAAGGACCATAATTGTTTGGAGACAGGTTGTCTCCCACCATGCGACCTGTATAATCACCTCGTGATCGAAAGTGGTCACTGAGCGATTCAGAGTAAAGCCCAATGAACCTCTGGGTGACCAGATGGTGACTGCAACTACTTGCAATTGGTTTCCGACAAAATAGTACCTTGATAGTACCTTTTAAGATTGCAACATATGGACATTTAGAAACTTCTACATATAGTACTGCATGCAGTGTTGTTTGCAGCTAGGTCAAGAGTAATTCAGCAGCAGTTACTCCATTTACCTAAGTCAACATACATCTGCAGATCATCATATTCACAAATATTAGTGCATTCAAATCTTGGCACAGAGAAGTCCTTGAAAAGAACATTGCACAAGCAGACAGCCCACTTCATCATTAATTGCGAGTCCAAATTGCATGCTTCAGCTGTAAAACTAATGCAACAACGCTGACAGAGTTAACCTCTAAAACCCTTTTATAATTGAAGAGCTCTCTAATCTAATGGAGAATCCTCTGCTCTGCCACATCGATTCTGGAGTGGAGATGTTCTGCATTTGACGGCACAACTGGAGTCGATTTTCTTCTTGCATGTTTTTGCAGTTTTAAGAATTTTAGCTTTACAGTAAACATGGAAAGTTTATCGTGTTAATCAAGTGGATAAAGGCTTCTTGAGAATTAAGAATATCTTTGAGTAGAATTTTTGTTAATATGTTCTCAAGGATAATAAAATTATTGGTTTGAATGTAAACTGAGACGTCTCTTTGCCAGGCCTGGGCACAGACCTCAGCACCACCACACAGTCAGGTGATCTGCCACCCAAGGAGCGCGAGCGGGACCGTGGCCGGACCAAGGACCGTCGTCACCACCATCACCATCACCATCATCACGGCTCTATTGACAAGGAGCGGTACGGCCACGACCGCCACGACTACTCCCACAGGCATCCCCACGACCGTCACTGGTCCCGGTCACCCAGCGAGGGGCCTGACGGACGAGGTCACAGACAGGTGGGCTCCAAAAGCAAAGATTATTGTCAAGGTTCAGCTGTTTAATTTCTTTATAAAATGTCTCATCCAGAGCATTTTGGATGGTTTGAGATTTTCTCTATTTCTGCATAAGCATGAGACACTTTCTCTTGAGCTTCAGTTCACAGACAGATGACTTGATCTGTTGATTTTTATTTTGGTGGCATTAATAGGACATCAGAAAAGGCCCAATACATGATCCTGTCAGCACCCGGTTTCACAGATAGGATAAGGTCCTTATGCTGGAATGCAGTAATGTCAGGATGGCCATTTACTGCTTAAAAGTTACCGTATTTCCCGGACTACAAAG